TCAGCTATTTCACACCCTCGTGTCCTCACGAAGTCCATGCGGGGACACCCGGGGGCGTGCATCCACAGAGCCCGGTGACAGTGCTCCTGCCGCGTTTCCCTGTGGCCTGTCCTCAGCATCATCGAGTGCCCGTGTGGGTGGCCCGTGAGGGTCGAGGCCGAAGCCCTGTGATGGAAGGGTTGGTGGATCCTGGGTGATGTGATGACTTATGTCACAGTTCAGGGGACTCAGGACGGTTGACCGAGGACACCCGGGACCAGCAGCTGCAGACGCTGACTCGGCCTGCGGACAGGAGTTGGCTCAGGTGTGCGAGGGTGGGTGGTGGGGAGTGGGGGGGCCCATGGGGAGACCCAACCAAGGTCTGGGGTCAAGAGCACAGGAGGGGTCGGTGGCGAAGACTGCCTCTGGGATCCTTTAGGGATCACGAGCAATATTTGAACACATTACTTTGACTATGTCATCTCAGCTTAAAGACCAACAATTAAAAAAAAAACCTTAAAAAAACATTAAACCCAATTAGTAGGTTTGCTTTCTTCATAGAGATATGAGTTAATGATTCCCAAACTGGTTTAGTGTATTCTGGGATTGAACAGATTAAGAAAAATATTGTGGCTAATGGAAACCCAGTCTCTCAGCGATGGAGAAAGTGGTGGTTACAGGGTGGACAGGGACACGGTTAGAATGGGTTGGACGGTGTCGCGTTGGAATTGCGCAGAGAAAGACAGAGGACACACTCGCTTAAATAGGACAGAGAGAGACGAATGGAGAAATAGCCAGATAGCAGGTAAAGGAAACAGTCAGTTTTTGCATTTTTAAATTTTATTTTTAAGATTTATTGAGGTATAATTGTTATACATGTTTTTAAACCAAGTTAGACAGCTAGAGAGTGATATAGACATATAAAAAGACAGAACAAAGAAGCTTAGAGACATAGAAAGATAGAGAAAGAGGGTCATGGAGACCACGAAAAATAAAGTCAGAGAGAACAGGAGATTAAAATTTGGTCTGTGTCCTCTGCTTCTCTTGACTGAGGGGCGAGGGAGAGAGGGAGGGTGCGAGGACGCAGTTTATTTCCATGTCTCAGCTCTTAACAGCAAATAATAATTATATGAGTATTTTCTCTAATTCCTTTCTTGTACCTTGCTATCACCACTTCGGCAAAGCTCTGCTTAATTTCAGTGGTTATTCTGTTGTCTGAAATAAATCTTCTTCTCCATCTTGGGGTAAATTAAAATGTAATAAAGCTTGAGGTTGCCACCAAACCAGCAAGCAGACAGCTGCTCAATTAAAACCAAACCTGATTAGATGGCACCATTGAGAGAAATGCTCCAGAGGAACAGCACAGAACCATTGAAACTCAAGTCTACAATCGTGACTTGATTTAAATATGAATAAACCCTTCTGTGCATTTTTCACTGTGAACTGGCTGGTGGCTTGGTGACTGCAATGACCAGTGATAGCCCAGGCTGGAGGCTCCAGCTGATTCCTGATTCCTGTCAGGTCTTCTCCGTGGATGGATGGAGATGGGGGTAAAGCAGAGCCAGGAGGAGAGAAAGACAAGGACAGAAAAAGACAGGGAGAGGAAGAGAGAAAAAGAGACAGACAGGCAGAGAGCTAGAGGATGGTTGTGTGACAAGCTGAGGAAAGACACAAGGAGATACATGTAGTGAAAAGCAAACAGAGAAAGGCCTAGAGCTGGTGACAGCCACAGGAGGGCAGCCAGACTGAGAACAGCAGACAGAAAGACAGGTACCAAGAAAGACAGAGTGGGGCCAGCCGAGTGGCGCGATGGTTAAGAACTCGCTTGGGACGCCAGAGGGCCCCGGTTCGGATCCCACATATGAGGGCCAGTGACACTGCCCTCTACAGCTAAGATGCTGAACAACAGCTCAACCTGGAGCTGGGCTGCCCTGAGTCGCCGGCGACGGCGTGGGCTGCAGTCCCTGTGGCAGTGGGTGGCCATGGGCTACCATGTGTGGCCAGCAGCCAGCGTGAGCGGCCAGCAGCCGCAGTGAGCGGCCATCCAGAAGCCGGCGACTGATCTGCCTCGCCAGAGAAGAGCACAATGATGGTGCCAACTTGGGCCAGTGAAGCAACATCCTCCACAACTAGATTGAAGAACAAAACGACAGCAACTTGTCTGTTCCCCTTCCCCCAATTCCCCAGCACTGTTCCCATCCCCCCAATTCCCCAATAAAAATCTTAAAAAAAAAAAAAAAGAAAGAGTGAAGAAACAGAGAGAGGTCTTTACACTTCGTGAGCATAAGTTACATGACATATTGTAATACGTGTGCGTTCTTCAGTTTGATGAATCATTCACCATCTTTTTCTTAATAGACATATAACTATTAAGACGAACATTTAAAGTGAATGCTTTGCTAAATTATTGTAATCCGAGTAATTCTAATGTGCTGCCCTAGCACTTAGAATAGTTCAAGAATCAAGTATGTATGAAAGTGCTAGATATAAGTCTATTTTTGTCTTCACAGCTGTACAATATTAAATCCAACTTCACTTCTTTGCCTGAGTCTAAGAATGTAAATGGGCTTCTCAGGACTGACCTTTATCTTGCTAGAGAAATACACACATGCGCGTGCACGCACGTACACACACACACGCACACGCACATGCACACACACAAACACAAACTCTTTGAACCTCTCCACATTTTAGAAAAAAGTTCAGTCTTTCTCATCATCTTATCAATTCTCCAACTGTGTTGAAGAAATTAATATATTTTCCATTTTTACAATAAATTGCAAAATAATCTATTTCTTAAGCGATTATTTTCTTAATTCCTTACCTGAATCCTAACATTCATTTACTTCCAATGAGATTCCATCCAATGAGAGCTGTCTGGGGCTCCGCTATCCTGTTCGTCTAGACTCCAGCTCCAGATCATGTGCCGCCATGGAGTGGCCAGGTGAGGGGCAGCTTCACCGCCACCCTCACCTAAACCTCAGCCCAAAGGTCCCATCTCCCCATCTCGGCTGAGAAAACATCCCGTCATCCTTCAGGGACGAGACAAATGTCAGCTGGGCTCCTAACTTACCTGCATTTTCACCAGCAGGTCAGAGGCTCCTTCACTTTATCTAATATTGTGATCATTACCTTTTTCCCATTTCACCTGAGAAGAAAATTACACAGGTTATCTTATCAGATGGGGTTTTAAAGGAGCGTGGCTATTGATACAGAATGCGAAGTGACAGGAGCCGTTACTACAAGGAACTGAAGAGAAAGTTGAAAGGTTCCTTCTTTTTCTCAGAGAGAAACCTAGGGTTGATAGAGACCAAGAGGGGTCATTTCTCCTCTTGACTAAGACAGCCATTCCCTCCGTTCAAGATGCAGACCCTAGAGTTACAAACTGGATTCTGGTCACACTTATTGAAGGACTCAGATGGAGACACATAAGGTTTGAATTTTGCATAGAAAATAGGCCCTAAAAATGCCATGTCCAACATTCTTTCTAAATTTTCACATGTAGTGTGCTTTGGAATTTTATAAAAGTCACTGGTCTTTTATTGGGTTGTCGGAAAAGTCATGACACATTTTTGCAACGAAAAACAGAAAAGAATACGTCATGACTTTTCCAACAACCCAATAAATCATTCAGTTCATAAATCATTATAATTCAGTGCTATAGACTAGAGGTCTTACAGGATAGACAGTAAGTATATTGGGCTTGGCGGGCTACCCAGTCCGTTGCAACAACTCCATTCTTCTGTGGTAGTTCAAAAGCAGCCGTAGGTAATAAAGAGACATAGGTGTGTTCCAATAAAACTTTATTTACAAAACCAGGCAGTGAGCCAGAGCCACAGGCCCAAGGTCATAGTTCCCTGACCCCAGCTACTAATGATCTTCCTTCCAGGCTCACCAAAAACTCTCTGAAAGCTTTCCAGTCTGAATCAGTTGCTAGCTAGCCTGTCTGTTTTTTGAGCTAAAAATCTTGCTGTCATTATTCTCTCATACCCCATATGAAAGTCATCAGCAAATATTCTCAGATCTACCTTCATGTGTCCAGAATTTGACCACTCCACCCACCTCCGCCTCCAGATCTATAACATGTCCTTGGTTTAAGCCACCAGCAGCTCTTGGCCCAATGATGGCAGCACACGGCTAAGGAGTCCTGGGTTCACCCTTATTCCCTCCCCTTCAGCCTTTACTCAACGTGGTGGTCAGCGTGATCCCATCAGAAGGCCTCTCAAACCCCATCTCACACAGAGATCAAGCCTTTATGAAAAGCCAAGAGCCTAGAGTGTGGCCTACAATGTCCAACATCATCTTCCCCTTCCATCTTACTCTTGACCATACCTCCCTATTTCCCCCCTATCCTCACTGGCCTTGAATGCTCTCCCCATGTCCCCTTTCCTTTGTCTAGTTGACACCATTTGTGCTTTGCACTTCTTCATTCAACAGCTATCTCCTGGGCATCAACTAGGTTTATGATCACATGTGCTTACTTAGATGATGGTATAATGAATGCCCCTTCACACACACTGGGCATCTAAGTCCCACATGTGTCTTTTCAGGGGTAGGTTGGCCTTGTTCTTCTACCACCAACTGAGTCACCCCAAAAGAATGGTCATAGGAGAGACGGAGATCAGTGGACATAAAGAGGAGGGAAACAGTAAAGGAGAGCAAAGAAGGCAAGCAGTGGAATGAGGGAGAAAAGAAACAGGCTGAAGAAATGTTCTTCAAAAGACTATCCATTTAGAAAGCCAAGTTGTCATCCCTCCATCTTCCTTCTGCTGCTTAGGCAGCGAATATTTATTGAGCACCCACCAGATGTGACGTTGCCTTCTGCGTAGGGAGGAAATGGACGTGTAAAGACAGATGTGAGCTGCCCTCATGGACCTAACATTCATTCCCGTGAGGAGAGAAAGAGATACGAACGAGTTAGCAAACAAATACATGTAACGCGATGATCTGGGAGAGTGCTGAGTGCTGTAAGGGGAATACCAAAGCTCAGGGGAGAGAGGCAGGGACACGAGTCAGGAGCCATGACTGTGGCCGGCTGGCGAGTGGTGATGCCGTCACACTCGGTGTTGGCAGCGGATGGAGCCAAGGGGCGGGACTTGGGAGATATTTTGGAGGTGAGCCTGCTGTGCCTCCTACCGAGCATCCCTGTCTATTTACACGTTGATGGCATTGTCCTTGGAGATGGCACCCCCCCCCCCAGTCAACAGCAGTTCAGTGTAACTGCCCTGAGCAGCAGCTGAGGCCACCATGAGGGGACATGTGCAGCCCACCTCACGGGACGATGCTCTGAATACCTGTTTCCTCCCTTCTTGGCAGGTCAGAGGAACAGCAAGGTCAGGGCCAGCCTGACGCGTTGAGACAGAAGCACAGGCAGCCTTGTCATGCTTCTCCAGCTGAGTCTAAATAATCGAGGCACCATCACTGCACCCAAGGACGTCCGTGTTTAGCTTGATCTTTAATCGTGGGATGGAAGACATCCTCCTTCATTAAAGAAATTTCACCAAAACCTCGGAGAATTCTGTTTCTGGGTGGAAAGCCCTTGCTGATGTCACCGAGGCCGGGAACTGCGTCTCCCTGTCCATCCTGGCTCCCACCTGGTGCCTGGCACTCAGGCCCCTGGCAGGTGTGTGGAAGGAATGGCCGACAACCTATGCCTTTGACCTGAATAGCACTTCTGTATTTCAAAAGTGTGTCGGGATGATGGTGGATGAACCATTGAGTTTGTCTCACTTAGCCTCTAGATCACATTAAAATGAGGAAAAAGGAATAAAAATGTTCTAATCCCACAGCAAAAACGAAAATGGGCTATCAGCAGATAAAAGACATCGATCATCTCTGAGGATGGAAGGAAGCAGATGGCGCGGGGGTAACTGATGAAGCAAACAAGTCAGAGATTTAGCAATAAAGCGATGCAGGATTCAGGCTCTGGGAGAGGTTATCCACGCTACGGACTTTGACAATGTAAAAATTACAGACCCAATAAACATCCAAACCGGGGGAGTGGGAAGAAATCTCAGAGTGCCATTTCTTCTACTTTCAAACACGGAGTTGATCTGATTGTCTAAAATTGTGTCACAAAAGAAACAGCGGTAGGAGTCG